TTCCTAAAGAGAATTTCTACTTAATTACAACATGTACAAATATTTAAATTATGTGAAATAGACCAAGTATGATTGTTTTTTCCTTTGAATTAGGCGCATTGTTTCTTTAGTAATAAGAAAAATGCATGAACTGAGATGGTTAAGGTTTATTATTATTATTATTATTATTATTATTATTATTATTATTATTATTATTATTATTATTATTATTATTATTATTATTATCCAACATGCCTCATTATACTTCACCAGATAAACTTAAAAGCAAAACAAATTTCAAGCGTGTAAAATAGGGGATTCTATCAAATATAATAGTAGCAAATGTAATGTACACACTAGGAATTCCTAGATCTGTCTAAAATGTTCATAAGTCACAAATGGATCAGCACTCAAATAAACCAGAACACGTACATAACTTCGTGCATCCCACTGGGATGAGAAAAATTAGAGGAATAATATATGAATCAATTATTGTTTTATACAAACAACATCGCTTCGCATTGAACTTTGAATAGAGAGAGCAACATGTTTAGAAGTATGTATTTGTGAAGATGAAGTTATAACTTGAACTGACTAACAGACGATACCTAATTAATTCAAATTTACTACACGTAAACCTGAGGGAAACTGAAACATTTAAATTAAATTGACTGCCCGTGAAAGTTAGTTAATAATCAAGCATCAAGGCATACAGTGACCTTCATGGAAATTAATAAACAACAAAAACGAGGCGAGTAATTTTTCGTATCTTCAAACACATTCATTATTCATCAAGCTAAAGACATGGATGCCATGCATCAATTATATAGTTTCCACACAGTGTCGTCATAACACTAAACATGGAAAGTAATAAGCAGTTAATTGCAAATTCGGTTAAGATTATCAGTGAGACATAAATAAATACAAATTACTCTCTCTATCTGTCTCTCTCGCTTCGTGATCCAATCCCATCATCAATCCACACACTATCACCTGTCAAATAAAAACAATCGTCAGAACTGTTCCTCAGAGATCTTGGTGAAAATCAATAATCAACACTGTTATCTAGCATCATTCAAACTAAACCAACACCATCAGAAAATTGACGGACTCACCTCACAATTCTCACAAGTAGAAAACTCAAGTCAACCACATCGACCATCACGATACCTGGCACAATCAACAGACAATCTCGATATGCCAATCCAAAATCAAGTTCACAATCTCACATCTACTCTATATCGCATTACTTCGTATTCACACTGTTTTTCACTGCCTCTTTCCTGTACATTTGAACAAATCACTCAGTCAACACCACACAACACACACCTGAAATAGGAAATACAAAACAAAAATGCATAAACACCATCGCCTCATCAACTAACATCAGACAGTAATGATATCATTGTATCACAAGTAGCAAATAAACATCACTAACAAACAAAAAAAAGAACAACACAACATACCTGTGTCATTGTGACGCATGACCGATAGGATCGCTTCACTAGACCACATCATATCTCCACATTGCCAATCGCTCATGACCTCCAAACTACTCTCTCTCTCTCTCCCGCTCTCTCTCTCTTCGTGATCCAATCCCATTAGGCGGCCTGCTTGAATATCTGGGCTACCTGTTTCTGCCATCTGATTATTTCAACAAGTTATCTGTTTTTCATTTGTTTTAATTTATAATTATGTCCATTAACCGCATAACCTATTCAGGCGCTTTTATGAAAAGCCTACAACCTTTCGCTGCACAAGTTACGAAAAAGTACTATAAAAGGCATCGTGGTGGTTGGCAATATGCGTTAAAGAGAATGAACATCAATCGTATGTCGATTCCCGAGCTACTAAATTCTAACTGCCGATCACTAATCAACAAAGTGGACTATCTGCAATTCCTGCTTAGTCAAAATACGTATCGTAATTGTGGTGTCATCACAATTCAAGAATCTTGGTTGAATGATTTACAGGATGACTGCCTTGTATCACTACATGATTTCAAAATTTATCGTCAGGATCGATCGAACAATAAAAAAAGGTGTGGTGGCGGTGTAGCTACGTTTGTAAACATAAACTGGTGTCGATCTTCGTTTGTGTGTTTTAAGTTTTCAAATGACTTTATCGACTGTCTAACTCTAAGATGTCGTCCAAAACATCTGAATAAATACAAATATGTTTATGTTACCAATATCTACGTTACTCCAGATTGCACATCATCTGCACTATCTGTTTTTGCCGATGAATTCACTGAGTTCGCTGTTACTGCCTTCAGTGATTCACTTTCAGTTGTATGTGGTGATTTCAATTCATGTGACTGTAGCTTACTTACGTCACTAGGTCACCAAAACGTAGTAGATTTTCCTACTCGTTTGGATGCTCATTTAGACTTCGTTTTCATTAATGATGTGGGTATATATGCGACTCGTAAACGTGCTCCACTGTCTAGCTCAGATCACTGTATAATTCGTGTTCTACCTAAAGTATATGGAAAGCATGGGAAGAGTACACTCTTACATCAAACCAAGAAAGTCAAATATAGGAATTACTCAGAAGAAAATATCCGAAATCTAAAAAAACATGTTTCATACGACTAACTGGGAATTATTTACAGATGACTCACTCGAAAACACTACTGATGTTATCACTTGTTACCTTAAATTCTGTTTTGATATTTGTTGTCCCACTGAAACCATTTTTGTAAGTTTTGATCGACTTACATCTTCACAACTAAAACGACTACGGAGGTTGAAAGAAAGAATGTACAAGGAGAAGAACTCAAATGAAGTTCGTAAGCTAAATGGTCTGATAAACCTAGAGATTAGACGTCTCAACTGCATGTTTACTCAAAAACTCTTATCTTGCAAAAACTCTACAAGTATGTGGAAATTCTTTAAAGAACTTACAGGTGACAGAAAGTTTAGAAGCGATAACCAGCTGAATGTTTGTGACTTAAATAAGTCTTTTGTACGTCAGTCATCTGATGTGATGCTCCCTCTATCCACGGGTTTAAAAAATAGCTGTGTTCATACTTTTACTGAAACTGATGTACGAGGATGTCTCCAGTCGCTTAATTCATCTCGATGTTTGGGTCCTGATGGTATCCCAAACATCCTTTTTAAAAAATGTGCTGACGCTCTGTGTCATCCGTTCACAACTATATTTAACAGATCTTTCTCATCTAATCTCATACCAAAAATGTGGAGAAAGATGAAGATAATTCCTGTACCCAAGAAAGCATTTGGTGATAAGAATGTAAAATTTAGACCTATTGCAATAACTTCACCTTTCCTCAAAACCATGGAAAAATTATTAATACTTCCACTTCAGCCTGCGATAAAAGGGCACACTGACCCATACCAGTTTGCATACAGGCGCAAAAGAAGCACTTTAGATGCTGTTGCAGTTCTGCATCACAACATAGTGTTCAACTTAGAAAAGGGTAAGAACTATGTTCGATGTGCTTTTCTAGACTACACTTCAGCTTTTGACTCTATACCAAGACAACGTTTACTTAACAAGTTAATCAGCGTCAACACTGACAGCTGGATAACCAACTGGCTGTGTTCCTACCTCTCTGGAAGGGAACAGTACACTGTGTTTGGAGGAAAGAGTTCAGATTCTCTACTGTCTCAGGAAGGTGTACCACAAGGAGCTGTTCTTTCACCTCTTCTATTCTCTTTTTTTCTGCATGACCTGCCATCTTCCACAGAAAACACTTTTGTGAAGTATGCGGATGATCTCACTGTATGTATGCCTATATCTTCCTCTTTACATCCCATAGAAATGAATGAGTTTTTGTCTCGTATTGATTGTTGGTCTGTTGGTAATGGTCTCATACTTAATCCATCTAAATGTCAAGCTGTTAACATTAGTATGAGACATGAACGGAATATAAACACTATTTTGAGATCCCATAGTGCTTGTACCATCGGAGACTCTTTGATAAACGCGGTGTCGAAGGTCAATTATCTTGGTGTCACCTTTTCCTCTGATCTGTCTTGGTCTTCCCACGTTTTATCGTTATCAAAGAAGGTTTTCCGTCTGACCTACTACATAAAGAGATTGCATGCTCTTGGAATTACTCGTCACCTTCTCTTACAATTTGTCAATTCTTGCATATTACCTATTATTCTTTACTGTTCTCCATTATTCTTTCCCGGGCTTTTGAGAAAAGACTTTGCTGTATTGCGAAGAGTGCTAAAGGCATTTAGTAAGACGTGTGGTGAATCTTTCGAGGTCATAATTAATATGGTTGTGGATAGACATTTAAAATCATGCAAACTCCTGGCAGGTATTATTTTATCAGATACTAGCCATCCCCTTCACTCTTATCTTTCTCCTTGTATATCTTCTGGTAGAACGAGAAGTAATTACATTAAAATCCTTGCACGCAAGGAAAAGTATAAAAGTTCTATAATACCTTACCTAGCAAACATACTCTGTGACGAACACCTTGTTAGAATTAATCTAGTCAATAAGTTACATTTTTAACATGTCTTTAATTTTAAAAGTTTGTAGTTTCTTTTGGGTTTTTTTTATTTTATTTTTATTTTCTATACTTCTTTATGTATTCGCTACTGCCTTTTGTTCGTTGTTCAGTAAGTAACTTGTCGAAATACACTGTGCTGAGAATTCTATATTGTACCAAAATATAAAATTGAATAAAGCCATTAAAAATAATAATAATAATAATCAACTCACAAACTATCACCTGTCAAATAAAAACAATCGTCAGAACTGTTCCTCAGAGATCTTGGTGAAAATCAATAATCAACACTGTTATCTAGCATCATTCAAACTAAACCAACACCATCAGAAAATTGACGGACTCACCTCACAATCCTCACAAGTAGAAAACTCAAGTCAACCACATCGACCATCACGATACCTGGCACAATCAACAGACAATCTCGATATGCCAATCCAAAATCAAGTTCACAATCTCACATCTACTCTATATCGCATTACTTCGTATTCACACTGTTTTTCACTGCCTCTTTCCTGTACATTTGAACAAATCACTCAGTCAACACCACACAACACACACCTGAAATAGGAAATACAAAACAAAAATGCATAAACACCATCGCCTCATCAACTAACATCAGACAGTAATGATATCATTGTATCACAAGTAGCAAATAAACATCACTAACAAACAAAAAAAAGAACAACACAACATACCTGTGTCATCGTGACGCATGACCGATAGGATCGCTTCACTAGACCACATCATATCTCCACATTGCCAATCGCTCATGACCTCCAAACTACTCTCTCTCTCTCTCTCTCTCTCTCTCTTCGTCATCCAATCCCATCATCAATCCACACACTATCACCTGTCAAATAAAAACAATCGTCAGAACTGTTCCTCAGAGATCTTGGTGAAAATCAATAATCAACACTGTTATCTAGCATCATTCAAACTAAACCAACACCATCAGAAAATTGACGGACTCACCTCACAATTCTCACAAGTAGAAAACTCAAGTCAACCACATCGACCATCACGATACCTGGCACAATCAACAGACAATCTCGATATGCCAATCCAAAATCAAGTTCACAATCTCACATCTACTCTATATCGCATTACTTCGTATTCACACTGTTTTTCACTGCCTCTTTCCTGTACATTTGAACAAATCACTCAGTCAACACCACACAACACACACCTGAAATAGGAAATACAAAACAAAAATGCATAAACACCATCGCCTCATCAACTAACATCAGACAGTAATGATATCATTGTATCACAAGTAGCAAATAAACATCACTAACAAACAAAAAAAAGAACAACACAACATACCTGTGTCATCGTGACGCATGACCGATAGGATCGCTTCACTAGACCACATCATATCTCCACATTGCCAATCGCTCATGACCTCCAAACTACTCTCTCTCTCTCTCTCTCTCTCTCTCTCTCTCTTCGTGATCCAATCCCATCATCAATCCACACACTATCACCTGTCAAATAAAAACAATCGTCAGAACTGTTCCTCAGAGATCTTGGTGAAAATCAATAATCAACACTGTTATCTAGCATCATTCAAACTAAACCAACACCATCAGAAAATTGACGGACTCACCTCACAATTCTCACAAGTAGAAAACTCAAGTCAACCACATCGACCATCACGATACCTGGCACAATCAACAGACAATCTCGATATGCCAATCCAAAATCAAGTTCACAATCTCACATCTACTCTATATCGCATTACTTCGTATTCACACTGTTTTTCACTGCCTCTTTCCTGTACATTTGAACAAATCACTCAGTCAACACCACACAACACACACATGAAATAGGAAATACAAAACAAAAATGCATAAACACCATCGCCTCATCAACTAACATCAGACAGTAATGATATCATTGTATCACAAGTAGCAAATAAACATCACTAACAAACAAAAAAAAGAACAACACAACATACCTGTGTCATCGTGACGCATGACCGATAGGATCGCTTCACTAGACCACATCATATCTCCACATTGCCAATCGCTCATGACCTCCAAACTACTCTCTCTCGCTCGCTCTCTCTCTCTCTCTCTCTCTTCGTGATCCAATCCCATCATCAATCCACACACTATCACCTGTCAAATAAAAACAATCGTCAGAACTGTTCCTCAGAGATCTTGGTGAAAATCAATAATCAACACTGTTATCTAGCATCATTCAAACTAAACCAACACCATCAGAAAATTGACGGACTCACCTCACAATTCTCACAAGTAGAAAACTCAAGTCAACCACATCGACCATCACGATACCTGGCACAATCAACAGACAATCTCGATATGCCAATCCAAAATCAAGTTCACAATCTCACATCTACTCTATATCGCATTACTTCGTATTCACACTGTTTTTCACTGCCTCTTTCCTGTACATTTGAACAAATCACTCAGTCAACACCACACAACACACACCTGAAATAGGAAATACAAAACAAAAATGCATAAACACCATCGCCTCATCAACTAACATCAGACAGTAATGATATCATTGTATCACAAGTAGCAAATAAACATCACTAACAAACAAAAAAAAGAACAACACAACATACCTGTGTCATCGTGACGCATGACCGATAGGATCGCTTCACTAGACCACATCATATCTCCACATTGCCAATCGCTCATGACCTCCAAACTACTCTCTCTCTCTCGCTCTCTCTCTCTCTCTTCGTGATCCAATCCCATCATCAATCCACACACTATCACCTGTCAAATAAAAACAATCGTCAGAACTGTTCCTCAGAGATCTTGGTGAAAATCAATAATCAACACTGTTATCTAGCATCATTCAAACTAAACCAACACCATCAGAAAATTGACGGACTCACCTCACAATTCTCACAAGTAGAAAACTCAAGTCAACCACATCGACCATCACGATACCTGGCACAATCAACAGACAATCTCGATATGCCAATCCAAAATCAAGTTCACAATCTCACATCTACTCTATATCGCATTACTTCGTATTCACACTGTTTTTCACTGCCTCTTTCCTGTACATTTGAACAAATCACTCAGTCAACACCACACAACACACACCTGAAATAGGAAATACAAAACAAAAATGCATAAACACCATCGCCTCATCAACTAACATCAGACAGTAATGATATCATTGTATCACAAGTAGCAAATAAACATCACTAACAAACAAAAAAAAGAACAACACAACATACCTGTGTCATCGTGACGCATGACCGATAGGATCGCTTCACTAGACCACATCATATCTCCACATTGCCAATCGCTCATGACCTCCAAACTACTCTCTCTCTCTCTCTCTCTCTCTCTCTCTCTCTTCGTGATCCAATCCCATCATCAATCCACACACTATCACCTGTCAAATAAAAACAATCGTCAGAACTGTTCCTCAGAGATCTTGGTGAAAATCAATAATCAACACTGTTATCTAGCATCATTCAAACTAAACCAACACCATCAGAAAATTGACGGACTCACCTCACAATTCTCACAAGTAGAAAACTCAAGTCAACCACATCGACCATCACGATACCTGGCACAATCAACAGACAATCTCGATATGCCAATCCAAAATCAAGTTCACAATCTCACATCTACTCTATATCGCATTACTTCGTATTCACACTGTTTTTCACTGCCTCTTTCCTGTACATTTGAACAAATCACTCAGTCAACACCACACAACACACACCTGAAATAGGAAATACAAAACAAAAATGCATAAACACCATCGCCTCATCAACTAACATCAGACAGTAATGATATCATTGTATCACAAGTAGCAAATAAACATCACTAACAAACAAAAAAAAGAACAACACAACATACCTGTGTCATCGTGACGCATGACCGATAGGATCGCTTCCCTAGACCACATCATATCTCCACATTGCCAATCGCTCATGACCTCCAAACTACTCTCTCTCTCTCTCGCTCGCTCTCTCTCTCTCTCTCTCTCTTCGTGATCCAATCCCATCATCAATCCACACACTATCACCTGTCAAATAAAAACAATCGTCAGAACTGTTCCTCAGAGATCTTGGTGAAAATCAATAATCAACACTGTTATCTAGCATCATTCAAACTAAACCAACACCATCAGAAAATTGACGGACTCACCTCACAATTCTCACAAGTAGAAAACTCAAGTCAACCACATCGACCATCACGATACCTGGCACAATCAACAGACAATCTCGATATGCCAATCCAAAATCAAGTTCACAATCTCACATCTACTCTATATCGCATTACTTCGTATTCACACTGTTTTTCACTGCCTCTTTCCTGTACATTTGAACAAATCACTCAGTCAACACCACACAACACACACCTGAAATAGGAAATACAAAACAAAAATGCATAAACACCATCGCCTCATCAACTAACATCAGACAGTAATGATATCATTGTATCACAAGTAGCAAATAAACATCACTAACAAACAAAAAAAAGAACAACACAACATACCTGTGTCATCGTGACGCATGACCGATAGGATCGCTTCACTAGACCACATCATATCTCCACATTGCCAATCGCTCATGACCTCCAAACTACTCTCTCTCTCTCTCTCGCTCTCTCGCTCTCTCTTCGTGATCCAATCCCATCATCAATCCACACACTATCACCTGTCAAATAAAAACAATCGTCAGAACTGTTCCTCAGAGATCTTGGTGAAAATCAATAATCAACACTGTTATCTAGCATCATTCAAACTAAACCAACACCATCAGAAAATTGACGGACTCACCTCACAATTCTCACAAGTAGAAAACTCAAGTCAACCACATCGACCATCACGATACCTGGCACAATCAACAGACAATCTCGATATGCCAATCCAAAATCAAGTTCACAATCTCACATCTACTCTATATCGCATTACTTCGTATTCACACTGTTTTTCACTGCCTCTTTCCTGTACATTTGAACAAATCACTCAGTCAACACCACACAACACACACCTGAAATAGGAAATACAAAACAAAAATGCATAAACACCATCGCCTCATCAACTAACATCAGACAGTAATGATATCATTGTATCACAAGTAGCAAATAAACATCACTAACAAACAAAAAAAAGAACAACACAACATACCTGTGTCATCGTGACGCATGACCGATAGGATCGCTTCACTAGACCACATCATATCTCCACATTGCCAATCGCTCATGACCTCCAAACTACTCTCTCTCTCTCTCGCTCGCTCTCTCTCTCTCTCTCTTCGTGATCCAATCCCATCATCAATCCACACACTATCACCTGTCAAATAAAAACAATCGTCAGAACTGTTCCTCAGAGATCTTGGTGAAAATCAATAATCAACACTGTTATCTAGCATCATTCAAACTAAACCAACACCATCAGAAAATTGACGGACTCACCTCACAATTCTCACAAGTAGAAAACTCAAGTCAACCACATCGACCATCACGATACCTGGCACAATCAACAGACAATCTCGATATGCCAATCCAAAATCAAGTTCACAATCTCACATCTACTCTATATCGCATTACTTCGTATTCACACTGTTTTTCACTGCCTCTTTCCTGTACATTTGAACAAATCACTCAGTCAACACCACACAACACACACCTGAAATAGGAAATACAAAACAAAAATGCATAAACACCATCGCCTCATCAACTAACATCAGACAGTAATGATATCATTGTATCACAAGTAGCAAATAAACATCACTATCAAACAAAAAAGAACAACACAACATACCTGTGTCATCGTGACGCATGACCGATAGGATCGCTTCACTAGACCACATCATATCTCCACATTGCCAATCGCTCATGACCTCCAAACTACTCTCTCTCTCTCTCTCTCTTCGTGATCCAATCCCATCATCAATCCACACACTATCACCTGTCAAATAAAAACAATCGTCAGAACTGTTCCTCAGAGATCTTGGTGAAAATCAATAATCAACACTGTTATCTAGCATCATTCAAACTAAACCAACACCATCAGAAAATTGACGGACTCACCTCACAATCCTCACAAGTAGAAAACTCAAGTCAACCACATCGACCATCACGATACCTGGCACAATCAACAGACAATCTCGATATGCCAATCCAAAATCAAGTTCACAATCTCACATCTACTCTATATCGCATTCCTTCGTATTCACACTGTTTTTCACTGCCTCTTTCCTGTACATTTGAACAAATCACTCAGTCAACGCCACACGAAACACCTGAAGTAGTAAATGCGAAACAAGAAGAGAGGTACACTTTAAATGTTTTCGGGAATATTTTTCCCAATTTTATATTATATATTGTTTCTTGTTGCGTGGTACGTGTTATCTTATGTTTAAATTGAAAAACGTAGTTGTAGATTGCTGTTTGCAGTTTATGTCTTCAGCTTGCACTGTCTATACTACAAGTCGTGGATAGAATATTTAATTTTAAGACAAGAGGCCTGGAGGTTTTAGCGGGGAATACACTTATCCAGTTTGTTAAAAAGCGTTTTTGGATTTCAGGCGGTGTCAGTTTGTGAAAACTTCAAATCTAATTCCTAAGCCTAACAACCAACTGAAAATCACAATTCCTCGTCACTCCTTTTTTGGCACTAGCAAGTAGGTGGACATTACGAAGGCCACTTTAACGTCGCTTATATGTCTCCATAAATTATAGGCTCACCAAAGGTTGTCCAGTGTTATCTGTCTGTACGGTTTGGTTGCGTTGACTGACATTTCCCAGGAATCAGAAGTTTTGCCAATAGCATTAGACATATGTCTAATTGGTAGATTGGGATTTCATTCCAAACTTCATGAGAACATTATCTATACAGATAGTTGTGGTATTTGGGTGTCGTTATTCGTGAGCTTATCTATGTCACTAGGATGGTAGACCCAGTTTAATAATGCAGACCGGCTATGAATTAACCGCTTAATTTATAAGATCTTACATAAGGTCAAGTTATCGTATGTGTTAACTCACCATCAGTTTCAGTTTCAGTTTCAGTTTGGGAAGGACAGGAGGCTCGATGGCCTATGTTAGTCCTGGCAATGGTGGTCTCTCAGTTGATCCAACTTTCTTTTGAAAGAGTCGACGGATGGAGCCTCAACCACGTGCTGAGGTAGTGAATTCCACTCGTTGATGATTCGATGGGAAAGTCGATAGTCAGCTGACAAGTAATTTGTTCTCGGCTTATGAACTTTTTTGGAGTGTCCTCGTAAATTCTCTGTTTTGGAAGACAAGAAAAATGAGGGCATGTTAGGTGCAAATTTATCACTAAGCAATTTGTAGACTGTAATCAAGTCGCCTCTAGTTCTGCGATATGACAACGGGAAAAGGTTCAGCTTGGCCAGTCGAGATTCATACGGAAGCTTCGCTATTCCGGGAACCAGCTTAGTCGCCATTCTCTGAACCTTTTCCAGGAGCTCTCTGTCTTTTTTAAAGCAGGGGCTAGCCGCTTGTATGCAGTACTCAAGTTTAGGACGAACGAACACTGTATACAAAGTCAAAAACGTCTTAGCGTCGACATGACTAAAAGCCCTACGTATTGACCATAACGTTCTAAAACTTTTGGCGGCTATTGCACGGCAGTGTGCAGTAGTCTTTAAGTCTTGACTAACGATAACTCCTAAGTCATTATATGTCTGGACGACAGGTAGCTCAGTGTTATTCATCGTGTATGTATCTGTGCCTTGATGACCGATATGCATCACAACACACTTGGAAGTATTTATCGGCAACTGCCATGTTTGAGACCATTCAGATAACTTCTTCAGGTCATTTTGAAGTTCTAAGCTATCACTCTTACATCGTATTGTTCTCCATATCTTGACATCGTCAGCATATAGCAAGACCGATGATGATAGGAGACAAGGAAGGTCATTTACATACAAGAGGAATAGCACTGGCCCCAAAACTGTACCCTGGGGCACTCCACTAAGCATAGTTTCCCAGCTAGATAACTTTGAGTTCACCCTTACTCTTTGTTGACGCCCAACTAAGAAGTCTTTTATCCACATCAATAAATTACCTCCAATCCCGACATGTCTTAACTTATATAACAGCCGGTTGTGCGGAACTTTATCAAAGGCTTTACTGAAATCAATGAAGGTGACGTCTACAGGTAGCTTTTGGTCCTTAAGAGCACACCAGCTTTCACGAGCCACTAATAAGTTAGTGAGACAAGAATAACCTATTCTGAAGCCATGCTGCTTCTCCGAGAGGATCCGGTTTTTATCGAGATACTTAAACAGCTCCTTCCGAATAATCTTTTCTAATATTTTAACAACCACACTAGTTAGGCTAACGGGGCGGTAGTTCTCAGGTTTGTGTTTCGTGCCTGTTTTGAAGACAGGACTTACTATGGCGTTTTTCCAATCTTTCGGTAAGCGACCCTGCGTAACGGATAGGTTAAAGCATGTACTTAAAGGGTTCGCAACGAAGTTAGATAATTCCTTCAGTAGCCTAGGATGTAATTCATCGGGCCCCGTGGATTTACCTGTGTCAAGCTTATTTAG